GCACCACTTCATAGTAACATGGGAATCATGCAAAGGACATGCCTTTGAAGAGTTCAAAGCCAACACGATCGTTAACCAACTTGTTGACCAATTGTGTCAACATCCTTGTTGGATTACCATTAACATTTTTAGTGTTATTTTTACTACGCCAGTGTTAGTCTATTTCCCCTCAAAATAACGTGTTTTTCCAGCAATTGGGCACAGTAATCCTGAAGCAAAGGTAGTTTACCAATATGCTGAGATTTAAATTCATAAAGAAATTCGGGGAGGGGAAGAAATTCTGGGGAGAGAAGCAGGAGACAGTGCTTTGGGCTTCACTGCTTTCTAAAGCAGTGCTTCTCAGATTGTGATGAAGAATTTCTAGTTATATTCAAAATGTAAGTTTAAAAAAATATTTTTTATCAATTTTTTTTTTAGAGAGTGAGGAAGGGAGAGGGGATGAGAGAGAGAGAAAAAAAAAACATAAATGTGAGAGGGAACATCTATAGGCTGCCTCCTGCACACCCCCTACTGGGGATGGAGCCGGCAACTGGGCATGTGCCCTTGACCCGGAATTGAACCAGTAACTTTTCGGAGCCCAGGAGGAAGCCCAACCAACCCACTGAGTCACATGGGTCAGAGCTCAACCCCACTTTTCAGTTCTTAGGTTCCACAGACATAAAGTCACTCTGTCACCTGCTCCCGAAGTTCCTAAATGCCTCCTTTCCACTTCTGCCCCTCATCACAGACCAGTCACTGTCGGCCCGGCCGCCATCCACAGACCACAGACCACACCTGGGGTGGCCCTGGCCAAAAGCATCATTCCTTTTTCAGGACTGGAATTCTTATTTTATAGACGTTAAATCTCTGAAATGCAACAGGGTCCACCCCGACCTCTACCCATCGCTCTGAAAAGCAAACTGGGGTACTGCGCTTCCACCGCCCGGTAGCAGAAGGCACTGGACAGTGGTGAGCACGGGCTTGAGGCGTAGGCGCTGACCCTGCCCCCACACCCTGTGCGGAAGGACGCCCTGTTCTTCAGCATCAGCCCACAGTGGCTGAAGGGCTCCGGTTTGGGCTCCAGCGACGGATCCAGATTCACCCGCATCCAAAGCTGCCGCACACGGCGCTGCTTCAGCCAGAACAGAAAGCGCTGGACGCGCTCAGGTTGCCGTCATATCCCGTGGACCTAGGGCAGGGGTCCTCAAACTACGGCCCGCGGGCCACATGCAAATACAAATATTGTATTTGTTCCCGTTTTGTTTTTTTACTTCAAAATAAGATATGTGCAGTGTGCATAGGAATTTGTTCATAGTTTTTTTTTAAACTATAGTCCGGCCCTCCAACGGTCTGAGGGACAGTGAACTGGCCCCTGTTTAAAAAGTTTGAGGACCCCTGACCTAGGGGGTCCAAGGAGGCATCCCTGGTTCTGTCTCTTGACCATGAGCAAGACACTCCATCTTCTGCTTAGGCCCCATCAGGGACGGGGGTGGGGTTAGAATGCTGCCTCACTCCTTGGGAGTGACATAGCCCAGAGGGATTGACAAGAACAGCAGGGTAGGGGGTGAGGGGGAATGAATGTACGTGTGTGTGTGTGTGTGTGTGTGTGTGTGTGTGTGTGTGTGTTATATACAGTGCAGGGCAAACATAGGTTTACAGTTGTTCATAAGTAAAACAATACAACAATCTATAATAATAAAAGCGTAATATGCTAATTAGTCCAGATGGCCGAACAGTGGAGTGACCTTCCGGACAAAACAGGGCTGCGAGGGCCGAGCCCTTTGCACGAATTTCGTGCATCAGGGCTCTAGTTAATAAATAATAATTCAAGAATAAACTCCGTGTTTTGCATACTCACAACTGTAACCCTACTTGTGCTCCACTCTCTACATGTATGTACCTACATGAAGAATTATTCTTTCTCACGCGGTACTTCCCCCCACCCCTGCAACTATGCACTGTAAACCCTTGACAATCCATGGGCTTTTAACGCCTTGCGCCACGAAAGCCCGAGTGCTATTAGCATCTCCCTCGATGAAATGACGATCCAGGCCGCCCTGGGGATGTGTCCAGCTCTGCGCACGCTCACACCACAGCCGCTGGGCTTCTGAAACCACGAGTCCCATCTCAGTTCACCGCTAACTCCCTGCAGGGCCCCCCAGCCGCCATCTCCGGCCCAGCCGCCCTGGGTTCATGCAGTGTCCCCACTCGCCCCTGGCTGTACGAGCAAGTCTCGGGACCGGCCTGCCACCATCTGCCCTTCCGTCCGCTGATGCTCGCTTGCCTGTGTGCAAGTCCTCCCGGGTGACCCTGAAAGCTGGCCCCCAGCACGCATTTGTCCGGCCCTCGATGTTCCCAGGGATCTCAGTCCGACAGCCATGCCCTGGCGCCGGAGATGCTGTGGGTTGTCCGGCGGCAGGAAGTACCTGTTCTCCCTAGACACTCCCATCGGGAGCCTCAACCCCTCGCTTCTCCTGCTTCAAATCCTCCTCTGGGGTTTGTCAGTCAACACAGTGGGGAAAAAAAGCTGTGGGTGAACTCTGACCTGAAGGCTCTTCCCATTCAAAGAACTTCAGGTGAGGAGGGGCTCTGGAGATCACCCCCCAGCTAAGCACGGCCTGTTCTCTCCCCAGCGAGGCCAGGTCGCCCTCCAATGCAAGCGTGACCTCCCCCAGGGACGGGGACCTCGCTCTCTCCGGGACAGTTTGCCTGGTGAGCGAGTTCGCCTGCCTGCTGACCTGGGAGCTATCTCCCTGCCATCACTAGGTGTTATTCAGCCTTTGCCCACACGGTTGGGTGATCTACAGAACCAACCACATCTCTCTTAATGCTGGCCCCAGGGCAGCTGAGGACACTTCCCCGGACTGAGCCTACAGGAGGAGGCTTCCAGGTTCCTCAACACTCCAGTCACCTCCCCTCTGGATGGTTCCGATGGCCTGCCCAGGTCCTGGGGTCCTCTGTGCTGTGGCGTTTCCTCATACTCCGTTCCATCTCTCTATTCCCTCCCTGAATGGCACGGACATGGCCTCCCAGCGAGCCCATCCAAAGGTCCCAACAACACAGGAATCCATGTCCACACAGAGCCAGCACGATGGCCCCCATGGATGGTGGCTGCACATGTTTCCTGTTACTCCCCGTGCATACAAGTTGGCCCGATTGCTCATAGGACAATAAACATGGCACCACGGTATAATCGGGACCTCAAAGCCAGTCTTCCACAAGCCTGCGTGCTGCCTGGCCTGCATCTTAACCCCGGGTATCAGCCCTCCGACCCTCCTCTCGCAACCTGAGCCCCTTCCTCACGTCCGTGCTTTCGATGTTACCATTCATGAGGGTAACGGGAAAAGCCATCCAACATTCCCCTACTGACATGCTAGCTACGTCCATTCTGAATTAACATCTGCATAGTCCTTTGTACCACACTCATCGCAATCTTCAGAGCAGCCCTAGGAGTGGGTGTCCTCCTCGCTTTACACAGGAGGAAACTGAGGCAGACCTGGAACTGAGGACCCCTGGAACCCAAGGGTCATCTGATTTCCTATTTATTTCAATGTCGGGAGCTTAGCAATCTGAGGCAGGACAAGTTTTCTAAGGTTAAGTTCCAAGAACCAAATAAAGAATGAGCTGCAGAGGGGAAAAAATAGCAGAGGAATCGGTTTCTGTCTCCGGCTTTGCTGCGAATGAACCCCCAGGTTCAGGGGGCGGGTCCCCAGTTTCCTCATTCATAAGATCGGGGGACTGAGGTCAGACTCCCAGCTGTCCCCAGTCTGTGGCCCTGTCTCCACCAAGTTGCTAAATTAGGCAGAGAACATGGCTGAAATGCCTTTCTCTTTTGTTCCTCGTGCTTTCAGTTTCTAAGATTAGCTGGGCGGTATTTGGTGACTACCAGCGGTCCCTCAAGCAGGAAGAAAACTGCCATCTCTACACTGTTCATGCTTAAGCAGCTCCTTCTGTGATAAGAAGATAAATCTGGACACGCCGGCCACAGGGCTGCACCCACGAAGGCCCTTACCCCACGCAATAGCACCCTTACAGCCACGTGTTCTCAGAGCCGTGGTTCTCAGCACCCAGGGGACGTGTGCGATGGGGAAGGTGCCATAGGGATGCAGTGAGCGGAGGCCAGGAGCTGCTACTCACCCTCCGACGCACAGGACGGTCCCCACAACCCAGAAGGATCTGGCCCAAGATGCCCACAGTGCTGAGGTGGAGAGTCCTGTCCTAAAGGGTGAGGTCAGAGAATGGCCCCAAACTCTCCCTAGTGTTTTATTTTCAACTAGAGGCCCGGTGCACAGATTCGTGCACTGGTGGGGTCCCTCAGCCTGGCCTGCGCCCTCTCGCAATCCAGGACCCCTTGGGGGATGTCGAACTGCCGGTTTCAGCCTCAGGATGTAGCAGTGCGAGAAGTGGCAGGCGGCCAGGGAGGAGCCCGAGCTGGGGCCAGGCGCCGCTTCCCTGCATCCCGGCCCCTCTGCGCCTGCTGCCACCACCGCTCAGTAGCACTGCCATGGAGGTGGGAGAGGCTCGTGCCACAGCAGCTGCGCTCACCAGCCGTGAGCCCAGCTTCTGGTTGAGCGACGCTCCCATTGTGGGAGCACACTGACCACCAGGGGGCAGCTCCTGCATTGAGTGTCTGCCCCCTGGTGGTCAGTGCGTATCATAGCAACCTGTCAACTGGTTGGTTGATCATTTGGTCGCTTAGGCTTTTATATATATAGCTATTTTTTTTATAGATTCTTAGAGTGAGAGGAAGGGAGAGAGCGAATGAAACATTGATGTGAGAGTAAAACATCAGATTATCTGATTGGCTGCCTCATGCACGCCCCCTACACGAGATCAAGCCCACAACCCCAGTTTGTGCCCTGACTGAGAATCAAACAGTGACCTTTCAGTGCACAGGGATACCCAACCTACTGAGCCACACCAGCCAGGACTCCTCCTAGTGTTTTATCGGCATTGGCCCACGTGAGAGGCTAACCAGACGGTTAATCTGAGAGAACCGAGGCTCTGGAAACCTCTCTTACCTTGCGAAGAAGGACGCGGCCACAGAGGTGCCCGTGGAGGTCTCAGTGGCCACACAGGAGCCCTGCGAGGCCGGGGTGCCGGAGGAGGACGGCTTGTCTGCATTGTAGCGATTCAGCGCAGCTTCGGACAGGCCCTCCCGGCCCGTCTCTGTCATCAGCTGGGAGATCTGAGGAGGAAACGGACACAGAGCTCATTACTGGGGCTCGCCACGTGCCCTGACCACCACTGACAGCGTCGGGGGCGGGGGGTGCGGGGGGGCGGGGAGGGAAAGGAGCACATCCCCCCATCACACAGCATACAGGGTGCTCGGGGCTCCTCCAAGGCCATTTCTCAGCATTTTAGCCAGGATGCCTCCTCACTTGCGTTCAGAATAATGGAATAAAATCACCTGCTGACATTGTAAGTTTCCATTATGTCTGTCTCCCCTGCATTTGGAGGGGAGAGCATGAACCATTATCCGCACTGTTTGCAGCCCAAGACCAGGCCGGTGCCATGGACCAGTGCCGGCTAGTGTCTTACCAGGAGTGGCCCCAAACGCTCTCCAACAGACGAGGGGGGCAAAGGCATCATTCTGTTAAGGGAGACGTGAGCCTGCTAATGCCGGGCATAAGGAATTAAAGCATCACTTGTTGTTTGCTGTAGGCAGTCGGCACGCAGATGACTTCAAAAAGCTCATAAAAATAGACAGAGTCGCCATGAATTTCAGGGGGGTTCACGGGGAGGGTGAGATCATTTCATTTTCCTCCTGGATCATTAAGATAAATGGCTCCCGTTTTATTTGCAATCACTGCCTTCATAACAGAAGTTCTAGCCGCTGGGGCTGGGTCCGTGTTGCCTAGATCCACATCATATGCTATGAAGAGCTGTACTTCTGGGCACAATGAGACACTTGTGCAGAAATCTACTCCAGGAAAGTGCTAATCCCATGACAAATGGAATAATAATGCGGGCAAGTCTAGTGTGCTATTTCGAAAACCTGTGACATTAAAACTTGGGTCTATTTGTAAAAATCAAAAATTGTTTTAAAAAGGGGAAACTTTAGTTCAAAAAAAGTGTCTCCAGACAGCCCTGGCCGGTTGCTCAGTGGTTAGAGCATCGGCCTGTGGACCAAAGAGTTGGGGGTTAGATTTGCGGTCAAGGGCATGTACCTCGGTTGCAGGTTCCCCAGCCCTGGGGAGGTAACCAATTAATGTGTCTTTCTCACATCAATGTTTCCCTCTCTCTCTCTCTCCCCCCCTCTCTCTCTGCCTCCTCCCTCCCTTCCACTCTCTAGAAATCAATGGAAAAAATATCCTGGGGTGAGGATTAAAAAAAAAAAAAGAACCTGCAGCCAGCTCCAAGTTCTTAAAGCTGAGTGGACAGCGCTTCTAATTGCCTAGAAAATGCAAGTGCAATAGAGCGAGGACAGGGGGCAGTTTCCACTTTGTGACCGAGCAGACGGGGAGAGTCCCATTTGTTACCCTTTGGAACCAAACGCATTTGCACTTTTCATTACTGGCCGAACAGCCATTACTCTGAGCCCCGCCGACCTGACACTTGGCTTAAATTCACGCGCTTACTCGGAAAGCCTCGGCATTGAGCAGCTGAAATTCTGCCCACACACACTTTCTCCTCCTCATTCACTCAATGCGCTGTAAGGAAACCCGACCCACATGAGAGAGCAAGTGGAGGCAGCAGAGGCCGCGGTGCCTGGAGCACGTCCCGGGCTCAGCCAGGCGCTGCCCAGGGCAGGGACCGGCCACCTCTCCCTGGGCTGCCTCCGCTGCCCGCTGCGGTGGGCTCCCCTCTACCACTGCCACTCTCCCGCAGGGACCCCTGAAACAACCGGGGGGTGAAGATATGGCCATCACGCGTCGTCACCACAAAACAGTCCAGTGTCCGTGGGGGGCAGCTTGAGGCCCGCCCTGGGCGCGGGGGCCGGAGGAGGAGGAGGGGCTGAACCTGGGTCACCTCCCACCTGCTTCTGGAGGAAACAGACCCGGGCCACCAGCTGCAGCCCCCGGTCAGTCCTACAACACGTGTGCGTGAGACGCTGCCACACGCCTCGGCCTCACCGTGACTCAGTCTCCCCGCCTCAGGGCCGGCTCTCTGAGTGACGTGGGGGCAGACACCACAGTCCTTAAAAGATCTGAGGCGTGATCCCTCCATGTCACTCCCACCCCAGGCTCTGTCGCTGCCCCCGCCCGTGGTGGCACACCCCTCCCAGGAGCAGCATTCTCCTGGCGGCGCATTTCATGTCGCGGCTGCGGCCTCTCAAACCTGTGGCCCAAGCTCACGCCCCTCAAAAGCGTCGCGAGGGGCTGGCTGCGGCTGCCAGCTCCGGCCCAGGCCCTGCTGTGTGTAAGTCAGCCCGAAAGCATGGGCTGCTCCGAGGCTGGGGAGACCAGCCCCCAAGCTCCCTGGCCCTGCCCAGCCGCTCAGCGGCCCCACCTCCTGCTCCCAGGCCACGTGGGGGCCAACGCGCGGGGCTGGCGGATGGGCTGGGTGGGCCCCACAGAGCCCTCAGGTGTCACCTGTGGAAGCTGGGTTCTAAGATTTAACCATTTCCCCCTGAGGCAGCTGATGGGCAGGAAGATGGGGCCACTTACCCAGGGACAGGGAGTGGGAGAGCCAGGGCTGGTGGACCCGGTTTATTTAACTCTGAGACTATCTCCATTCTGCACTCCACCCCTCAGTCCAGTTCCCCTCCTCCCCGCCCCCCAGGACCACTTCCTGTCCCAGGGCTGCTCTCGGCCCCTCCCACATCCACAGGAGCCGAGCACCTGCTGCAGCACAGAGTCCACAGCGGGAGCCCGTGTACAGAGGACGAGGCTTGGCCTCTGCTCCTCAGGCCGCTCTGGATCAGGGTCCTCTCTCACGACAACGTGACAAATACACGACGGTCCCTGAGGAGATTCAGGTGTGAAAACCTCCAGCTAACACATTGGGAAACTGAGGCTCCGGTGGGAACTCTATTCCTCTGATGGTGTGTGTGCAGCCGGCTGAACCCTGCCGGCGGGTCCTACTCACAGACTAGGGGGAGGGGGACTAGATGTCTCAGCGCAGGGTTTTCTGGGTTTAGTTCTGATTAAAACCTGCCTGTAGCTCTCCACTCGGCTCCTCAGAACCAGTTCACTGAAGCAATGGTATCTGTTACTTTCAAAACACCACGGAGAGCGTGCACATGTGTGTTCACACATGTGTGCGCTCATGTGTATTTTCACATATGTTGTACACGTGTGTGCATGTGTGTGCGCATGTGTGCTCTGAGCATGTGCATTTGTGCATGTGTTTTCACATGTGTGCTTTGAGCTTTTGTGTGCATGTGTTTGCACATGTGTGCTTGTGCATGTGCGTTTGCACATGTGTGCTTGTGCATGTGTGTTTGTGCACATGTGTGCTTGTCCATGTGGGCCCTCAGCATGCATGAGAGCCCCAGCTATCGCTCATGTGCACGGAGGCTGCTCTTCACAGACCTCACAGACAAAGCCAGCTCCACATCTTCAACCACATACACATTTGCTCTCATCGTTCAGTATGAGGAGCTGTAAATTCATCCCCAAAGAAATAGAAAAATCTTCCGTTTGGCGATGCGCTTGCCCACAGAGTCAAGACAAAAGATGTCTGGCTCTCACAAGCCAGGTCGCTTCCACGTCTCGAATGGCAGTCTGTGAGCCATTGGCCTCTAACCCCCTGCTGCCAGCGGCTCTGAGCTGCCAGCGTCTCCGGGTGGGGTCCGTCTCAAATGGCATTCCTGACCCAGAAAGCCGCCTCCTCCAGCTCTGCCGAGGCGGCCGGGACCGGCAGCATCCATTTCCTGCGCAGAGGCACCCACGGGCAACAGGTGCATCCTGCTCCGTCTCCAACCACATTTAATCACGTGCTGACCCCGAATCCCAGGAGCTAACGTGTAACAGCATTTTCTCTCAGGCAGTCACCGTCTCACTGTTTGGGGACATCTCTTTTATTGTACTGATCACTGACACTATTACTTAATGTTCTCATGGTTGTGCAAACAGTGGGTGCTCAATAAATATTTCCGCGCACAAACCAATTTATAATTCTCTCAGGAAAGGTAACCCTCGGTACAGTCATGGGATGCAGCTACACTGTCGGCTGTCGAGCACTTAGGACGCCAGGGTACACTCTCAAACAGCCCATGTGGAATATAAACTAGGGAAGCATATCTGCCAACAAAAAAGATAAAAAATGTATTCCCAAACCAAAGATCAAACCAAGTGCACTGCTCATGCCAACGCCCCACACGTCAGCCACGGGGATGCTGATGTGCACAGAAAGACATCCGCTCCGTGCAGCATCCAGGCCACACTTTAATAATTTATCTTTATGCCACACTTTAATAATTTATCTTTATTGTTGAAAGTATTACAGATGCCCCCTTTCCTTTCCCCATTGACCCCTTCTAGCCTGCCCCTGCCCCAGGCCTTCATCACCCTATTGTCTGTGTCTATGGGCTATGCCTATCCTATATAATAAAAGGCTAATATGCAAATTGTCCCCTGGTGAGTTCGACCAACCAGGAGTTTGATCGCCTGCTATGATGTGCGCTGACCACCAGGGGCGTTCAGAACAAAAGAAGGCCCCAGCCAGCAGATGGGAGCGGTGGAAGAAAGGCCCTGGCTGGCAGCTGGAAGGCCCCGATCGGCCCTGATTACCAGCCAGGCCTGGGGACTCTATTCGTGCACGAATTTCATGCACCAGGCCTCTAGTATGCATATAAGTTCACCCATTAATCTCTCTCCACCCGCCCTCCCCTGCTTTCCCTGAGATTCCAGTCTGTTCTATGCTGTTATGTCTCTGGATCTATTTTTCTCATCAGTTTATTTTGGTCTTTATCTTCCACATATGAGAGAGATCATGTGACACTTGTCTTTCTCTGACTGGCTTGTTTCACTTAGCATAATACTCTCCAGGTCCCTCCATGCTGTCTCAAAGGGTAAGAGATCCTTCTTTTTTGCTGCTGCATAGTGTTCAGAGATGTAAGTGCACCCCAGCTTTTTTTATCTTCCTATCTGAGTCTTAGCTCTGGCTGCAGGAAGATGCGGCAATCCCCTCTCAGGGTCACGTCCACACCGGCTATGATGGCACAGAGCAGGCTCCGCTTTCCCCCCTTCCCTCGCTATTCCCCCTCCCCCAGTATCCCCTCCTCCCCACCCCCTGGCAGCC